TGAAAAAGGCGTAATTACTAAATATATGAAGTGGAAGGATTGAGGCGATGTTTTGTCTGGCATGAATGAGGATATCTTGCAAAAGCAAAAGTTGAACAAAGCCTGGGTATTGAAACTAGGATTGGTAACACAAAATGGAACTTCAATATGATGCACATATCATGATCCGGCGTCATGCTCATCGTCGAATAAACGTGTGTTTAAACTTTCCATTACATTGAGCGATTTCTGGCGATTCACCTAAATCAATGCAACGTTTTCACAACCTTCAGAAGCACTCTGTGCTCCACGCACTCTAGATAAGAATTAATTTTGTTTCAAATGGTCGTGCGGTGATGGTGGTGAAGCAGTTTCATTGCAAAGACAGGCAGCAGTTCTGCCGTATCAGAAGGGATGTTCGCTCACTTTCCTGTGTCCAGTCTAGAGTTACGGCCAATTTGTCCTTTTCTGTTATCCAGAAATAAGTGCTTTTTTCATTTACTTCCCTTCGTGTAATTTTCGCTTCCAATAATCTTAGATCAAACTGCGTATCTCTTATTAAATCACCTTGAATGGGTAGAAGAAGCGCGGTTGGCACTTTGGTTACATATAAAAATACAAAAATGACCCAAACGAGTGCTCATCAGACTCACGGCAGAAAAGCAGTTGGGCCACTTAAACAATATGACCTTTCCATTCCTTTCCAATTGAATCTATAATTTAAGTCAACAATAAAGGACAGAATTGATGTAGTGCAGTGTTATGAGCAAATAATGAAAAGGACTACGTGAGTGTTGTCGGGAATGGAAGGTATTGTGTTCAAAACATGAATAAAACAATTTACAATCCCAAGATTCACTGTTTGCGCCCTGAGCAGCGAATTTGATTACCACATGCGACTGTCCACGAAGAAACCGAGAAAGTGGAAACGATGTCTTCAAGTCTACTCCATCTGCGTGTGAAATATTCTTGAGTCTAGAATTTCTCATTGCACAAGTAAGTGAAGCGCTTCAGCATCACATGGACCACATGGACACCATTCAACATTCAAAGTACGGCGTTTTTCAAGGTACCGAAAGTGAGATCACGATGGCGAGGCAAAGCTCCTCAATTCCGCTGTAAAATGACAGCAAATCTATGGAGTATCTACGAAATTAAGTAAAATGTGGTTAAATTTGAAAGATGAGCAAAATGGTGCACCAAACTACTAATCATTGGGAGTACTGATTTTTCGACACCTTTAATAGCAGGAAAGGAATTTGAGCATATTTTGCAAACCCGGGGAATCTGTTGCGATGCAAATCACGTGGTGACAAATAAAAGCTGAATACTCTATTCTCTGTTCCGCCGTGAATTCATCCAGTGCGATTTATAGGAATTGTACACTCTCTCAGCATTGGCAGTAGGTCAGGATTCAATACATCAGACTTTACATGCACTGCACATGATGTGTCATGAGACCGAGCCTACTGGCGCGAATATGATGCCATCTAGCTTGGCATCCGAACCTCCCATCTCTCGCTTCCCATGTCACTGCCTCTTGCCAGGTAGCTTCATCTTTGTAGCAAAAGGGATACCAAAGCTGAGATCAAAGCATCAAAGCAGAGCCCCACCTCTGTGACATGCAATCCATTCAGTTTATTGGCACAGCGCTACCGGTGACACCTCTCTCCATTCCGGCTTATTCTAAGCTACAAGTGTCCTTTTGTGGTTACAACTTAAAGACCACACATT